CACTCGGGGCGGCCACTGGAGCGCGGACAGGTAGGTGCCCGCCTGGCGCTCGGGCCGCGCCCGGCCTCCGAGGGACCCCGGGGGCCCCAGGGGCGGGGGTCGTCGGACACTCGGGACCCCGATCCTTGGGGGGCAGCTGCTCCGGAACAGATGCTAAGGGGACATTGGGGAAGTTTGGGGTGGCTTTGGGGAAGAGTTGGGAGGGTCGGGGGAAGCTGGGCTTGGGGAGCCAGAAGTGGGGGTTCGGGGCGCACTTTGGATGGAATGCGGCGGCGGGGGGGGGCAGCGGAGCGGCCGAGGCAGAAGCAGAGCGCTGGACAAAGAGCCCCCAGCTGTGCGAGGCCGCGAGCCTCCGACCGACCGCGCAGCCGCGCCTCGGGGTGCAGCCTCGAACCGGCCCGGGGTCTGGGCCAGCGTGGGCGCCGCTTCTCCCACCCAGGACCGCAGAGGGGCGCAAATGCGGAGGGGCCAGAGGTTGGGGGGGCCGCCTCTGGAGCCGATCCAGTCCTCCCGAGGCCCCCCAGATCCACAGCCTAGAAGTGCTTGGAAAAGTAGGATTCCCCTCTTTAGGCCCACTGCTAGCCTCTACAAGACCCCTTCACCCCCCAAGCTCCTGGGGTGTCCTCCTGCCCAGGATACCCCAGGAGGATGTGTGTGGGGGTGATTCTTGAGAGGATGGCTCCTGCTGCCAGTCTGGAAGGTGGCATGCGCGCCACTACCATGAGCAGGGAGGCTTGGGTTGTCAGATGGGCCTGTGGGTTTGGGGGGGATGACACAGTGCCCCCCATCCCAGACCACCTTAGAGAACTAATGCAGATGGACAGGGGGCCACAGAAGCCTGTGGGGCTGGGGACATGCCCTGGTTCTGTCTCTTTTCCTAGATCCTGGGGTGGGAGGGGTCAAAAGCCAAGTTGGGGGTCCCAGTGAGTCATCTGGAAGAGCTCCCGTGCTGGGACAGGAGGGGCGGCTCTTGGATGGCTGGGCTGTGGACTGGGCCCTCACAGCCCTCTCCACTGTGGGCTCAGTTTTGAGGTCACCTCCACTGAGCTGGGCGTGACACAGGGACCTGCGGGCGGTGCCAGGTCCGCTGTGCGGCCAAGACAGAAGGGTAGATGTGCCCAGGAGCTCCTGAGCACCAGGGACCTGGTAAAAATGATGGACTACTGCCCTCACCCCAAAATGATACACATGTCACAGTGTCTGGGGGGTGCAGAACCCCTGGGCTGGGTGACATCACCACCTTCAATGCCAAAAAGCATGCCAAGGTCTGGAGGAGCCCTCCTCAGTCTCCTTCCTGCCTAAGTGCGGCCTGCTGTAGTCACGTGTGCCTGGGGTGAAGACCGCCAGGGCTTGGGAGGCCTGGAGCTGGCAGGAGAGGGCTCTTCTGGGGGTTGGGAGCCTGGCTGCACTGGGGGCCCCTCAGGCTGCATGCATGTGGTTTCCTGCTGAGCAACATGCTCAGGACCCAGGGGCTAATTGGGAGCAGGTGGTGGGCCTGGCAAAGGCAGAGGCGGGCTGAGCTGCGTGTAGAGGCTGTGATGGGGGTTGGCCAGGACTGGGACTCTGGGGGGGATCAAGGATTCTGAGAATGCATGAGGCTCCACCCCCAGCTGCCAGGACAGAGTGGGCATGGGTGTGGCCAAGGAGAGACTGGCTGGGCTGGGGAAGAGCCCTAGAAATGTTCCCCTGGTAAGGTAAACAGGGGGCAAGGGCAGTCTGGCTATTTGTCAGGACCAGTCTTGGGGCCAGACTGGAAGTCTTGTACCAGTATGGGGAGTTGAACTCGGCACCTTGAGCTCTCCCTTGGCTTTTTCACTCAAGGCCAGCACTCTACCACTTGAGCTGTAGCCCCACTTTTTGGTTAGTTGGAGATAAGAGTCTCATGGAGGGGCTGGGATGTAGCTCAGTGGCAAAGCGCTTGCCTAGCAAGCGCAACGTCCTGGGTTCTATCCCCAGTACCAAAAAAGAAAAGACAAAAAAAAAAAAAAGAGTCTCATAGAGGGCTGGGGATGTGGTTCAGTGGTACAGTGCTTGCCTAGCATGCATGAAGCCTGGGGTTCGATTCCTCAGTACCACATAAACAGAAAAAGCCAGAAGTGGCACTGTGGTTTAAGTGGTAGAGTGCCAGCCTTGAGCAAATGAAGCTCAGGGACAGTGCCCAGGCCCTGAGTTCAAGCCCCAAAACTGACCTTCCTCCCCCCCCCAAAAAAAAAAGACATGGATTTTACTGCCTTAGAACCTTGATCCTCAAATCTCAGCCTTGTAAGTAGCTAGAATTACAACTGAGCCACCAACACCGGCTTATTTCCAGGCTTTGGTGGTTAATTGGAGACAACAATCTCTCAGCCTTTTACCTGGACTGACTTTGAACTGTGATCCTTAGATCTCAGCCTCTCAAGTAGGATTACAGGTGTGAGCCACCAGTACCCACCTAGTATTCCCTCTTGACCTGAACCCCCAAGCAGGGACTTTGGATGTCTCTTCAAATAGCCCAGCCCCTATTCCAGGTGCTCTATTCTGAGGCTTAATTTGGGGTCAGAGTTGGGCTCTGCGGTCTGGGGTCACTGGCCTGGAATACACTCTCCTTTCCTCTTCTTCCAGCTGCCCTCTGACACCACCCCAGCCTCCTCCCTCAAAGGCCATGGGAGCTGCTTACCTCTTCCTGCTCTTCCTGCCTGGTACGTGCTTCTGGGGCCAGGGCTGGCTCCCTGTATGAGACAGGAGTGGGGTTTGTGGGGGAGAAGCTGACAGCCTTTGTCATGACCCTGCCATGAATCTATGGGCAGAACTCTGCTTCCAGCCCTCAATAGGCTGCAGGGTCTGCACTGTGACTGGACCAGCCTCGAGCCAGGGTAGAGAACAGGGAGGGGAGGTCGCTGAGACAGGGAGGCCATTAGGGGCTTTACCCATTGTACTGTCTTGACCTTGGAGAAGGTCATTGGTATCAGTGTGTGTGGCACAAAGGCTCTTCCAGGTCCATTCAACAGATATGGATTGATCCTACTATGTGCCGGGCACTGGGCCAAGCCCTAGAGATATAGCAATGAAACAGGCCAGGAGTGGGAAACCTCTGTCAGACCCAAATGGCTTTGAGGGTCTTAAGTGGCCTGTGGGCTGGACATCCCCCACCCTTGAAGCAGACAAAGCCCAGGCTAAGGAAGAGCAAGCGGCAAACAGAACAAGTGGACAGATACATTTCAGATGGAGTTGAGTAGGATGATGGGAATAGACGGAGAGCTAGTGGGTGCAGGATGGCGGGTCTGCAGAGCTGAAAGTTCAGGTGAGACCTGAACTCAGAGGGAATGGAGCGCAAAGGCTCTCGGCAGGCAGGAGCAGCCTAGGGCCTTTACCGTGTTGAAGGAGTTCAGACTCCCAGTTTGCTAGTCTGGTTGTAGTGTCCTAGGCTCTTGCAGCCTGCTCGTGACCCACTTTGCTTCCCAGAAGTCCTTTGGGCGGTACTTCCCTGCAGGGAACCCACACATGCTCTGCCTCCCCCCAGTAGGCCTACTGGCTCAAGGCCAGTACGACCTGGACTCGCTGCCCCCGTTCCCGGACCATGTCCAGTACACCCACTACGGCGACCAGATCGGTGAGGGGCCCTCAGCCTTCCATGCCAAGCCTGGCTTTGAGGGGGGGGGTGATCCCTGGCTCACACAGGACCTCATTTGGGGGAGGGGGAACACAAGGCAGCCTGACTCACACCAGTTCCGCAAATCTTTTCATTTGCAGACAGCCCAGACTACTACGATTATCAAGGTAAGGGCCAGGATGGGACAGGAGCAAAGTGGGAAGCGGGGGACCCTGGAGTTGAAGTAAGGAGCAGACCCCTTGTCACCCAATGCAGAAGTGAGTCCCCGCCCTCCAGAGGAGCAGTTCCAGTTCCAGTCCCAGCAGCAAGTCCAACAGGAAGTCATCCCCGCTCCTACCCCAGGTAGGCCAGGGCTGTGCCCCCCAGCTCTCCCGGGGCATCTGGGCCAGGGCTCAGGTGACCTCTGCCCTCACTAGACTCCCTCCCAGAGGCTCCTCATCTTCTCTTCTCTATCTCAGAACCACCAGAGCCACAGAATGCTGAGATTGAACCCACAGAACCTGGGCCTCTTGGTAAGAGCCTCCTGACAGCTGGGGAAACAGAGGCATGGTTCCAGAAGTTGGGCTAGAGTTGGCAACAGTGTGGGTCAACTTGCAGGACTAGGCAGTGGGCGGTGGAAGGGGAGGGCTGCTGGGAGATGTACCTGTGCTTTAGGGTAGCATTTTCAGACCCTCAGGCAGCTCAGAGACTCTATCCTGTCTTGGCTGGCCTGGCCAGAGGCCTGGGTCATGGTCTCAAGGATGCGGGGAGGTCAGGGTCTATGCTGAGGGCTTCCTGCTGGCCGGAGTTACTGAGTGGTGCCGAGGGAGCCCAGGGGTTAGGGAGTCCAGGCCGGCTGAGGCCGAGAGCCTGGGGGCAGGCTGGGAGCACGAGCCTGAGCTCGCTCACAAAGGAGGCAGAGCCAGCGTGGAGTTCCTGAGAAGGTCTGCCAATCTGCTGGACTTCCACCGCCTCCTGAGGTGGCTGTGTGTGTGTGTGTGTGTGTTCACTCTCAGATGTTTGACAGCGTATTTCTGAGTGTGGCAGTATGTATGTGTGGTGTAAGACAAGGTAACTGTACAAGGTCTACCTGTGCATGCTGGGTAGTGTGAGGTCTGGGCCCCTGTCCCTATGGGTGAGCTTGGGGGCATTCCCTCCCCTTCTGAGCCCCATCTGTGCCCTAGACTGCCGTGAGGAACAGTACCCATGCACCCGCCTCTACTCCATCCACAAGCCTTGCAAACAGTGTCTCAACGAGGTCTGCTTCTACAGGTGAGCAGTGCGGGGGCATCTTCAAAGCGCTGGGTGGGGGGCGGGACAGGTCCAGACACCAAGGTTGGAGTTTGGAGTATTGAGTTCTGCAGTAGAACTTGACTCTGGGGTGGGCCTGGACTATCCCTTGGGGTGCAGGTGGGGCTGAGCCTTCTTCCCTCACCCCTCCCCCTCCCCTCAGCCTCCGCCGTGTATACGTGGTCAACAAAGAGATCTGTGTCCGCACTGTGTGTGCCCATGAGGAACTCCTCCGAGGTAGGACTCCCCACTCTTTCTGCTGCCCACCACCATCCGTGTTCCCGGCAGATTACACATCTGTGCCCACTTGCCCAGCACCCCGATTCCCCGCCCTCCACAGCCCCTCTCGCCTGCACCCTCACCCTTCCTCCTCCCTGCCCCTACAGCTGACCTGTGCCGGGACAAGTTCTCCAAGTGCGGTGTGATGGCCGTCAGTGGCCTGTGCCAGTCTGTGGCGGCCTCCTGTGCCAGGAGCTGCGGGGGCTGCTAGGGGGGAGCTGGTGCTGGCATCGCGAGCCCCGCTGGACCCTGCCTCTGGCCCTGTCTGACTTGGTGCTTTTCCCCCACCCAACTCCTTTTCTTCTGTGCAGTGGCTCAGCGTGGGGGGGGGCCTGCCTATGGTGCTCCAGGCCCCTCCCTAGCCCAAGGCCACCCCAGTGCAGTGAGAGTCCCGCACTGCTTAGTCCTCATGGGGAGCATTCAATGCCTCGGTGTGAGGCCTGGGCTCCGGTGTGCCTCCTCAGGCCCACTGAGGGCAGTCACCTCTTTACAGCCTCCCCAGAGGTTAGCGACCCCCCTCACCCCAGCTGGCCTGCTTGGATTTGCTACAGCCCCCAGGCATGGACCACTTTTGTTTTATACAAAATTAAAAGTTTTTACAAAAGACCCAGGGTCACTTTTCTACACAGAGCACAGAAGAAAGAGCCTGGCGGAGAAGAGGGGGTATTCAGGTAACTGCCTCTGCCCCTCTGGCTTCAGCTCTGGCCTACCCAAAATGGGCAACACACCTGCCATCATGAGCGTGCACGCACATGCGTGGTGGGGGAGGTAGGAAGAGCAGAAGGCCCCGCGCACAGCATTCTCATGGTCAGGGCTGCCTGGCCTGTGTGGACGAGTCACCGGAAGGTGTGACCACTCTGTGAGCCATCAGGTGAGTGGCAGTGGAGGGGGTGCAAGGCAGAGGTGTTTTGGAGATGGGGAAGGCAGAGATGGGGGGAGCCACTACAGCCCCTCTCCCAGCCTGCCCTGCACACTGAGACACCTCGCATTGCCACCGGTGGGCCCCATTACACAGAGATACCACTGCGGCTGTGCAGCAGTGCTACCTGGCACCTCTTGGCAGAGCCAGAGTGAGCCCCAGGCCTACTGCTAGCCTGCCCTTGCTCACCGCACGGCCTCGGAGCCCTGCTGTGGCCAGGGTGGCCCTGTCCTGAGGGAGGCCAGAGAAGGGCAGGAGAGGTCTGCTTGGGAAGAGTCAAGGTGCCGGGCCAGGTCCCAGCCCCAAGTCTTGACACCTCATCTGTAAACGAGGGGCCCAGGACACCTGTGAGGTTGGCAAGTCCTCTGCCTCTAGGTTCCCCGGCACACCCACAGGGCCCGGCCCTCCTGCCCAGGCCCCTCCTCCACCCTGTGCCCCCCAGGATGAGCCTGGCTGATAGAGGAACAAAGAACCTGCGCCAAACAGATTTTAGAAAACAGGTCTTGTGACCAAAAAACACCAGTTCTCAATAGTTAACATTACAAAAAGGTACAAAAATACAAACACTCTAAGCTCACTAACAAATTCTGAACGGTGGAGGGGTCTCTGGAAGCCAGTCAGGGCCCGGGTGCTGCCCCTACCCTGCGCTGGGTACCCCTCTTTCCCATGAGCCCTTGCCCCAGGGCTAGCTGGAGTCAAGGGCTCTCCCTGACCAGACTTTGGCTCAGTGCTCTCAGGAGGACTTGTCAAATCTAAAGTGGCTTTTCCCAGGGGAGGAGTGCTGAGGTGACAACACGATGAAGCTGGGGTTGGGGGGTGGGGGTCCTGGAGATGGTGTCCTCCCAACCCCAGCACTGGCCCCTTCTCAACAGGCCCCTGTTCTGTCTCACACAGGCTGTTTTCTGGGAAGGAACTCATTTCTCTGGGGTGCCGGAGGGCAGGGAGCAGGATCCTGAGCTCCTTCGAAGCTCCTGCTGCAGCTGCCCCTTCAGGGTGGACACCTGGGAAAGAAAGGGCAGGGAAGTCTAGGTCCTACTGTGATTTCGGAGAGAAGGAGGGAGTCAATGGAGAGCCACTCGGCCACAGCTTTGGGGACACAGAAGGACCCAATGCTGCCTGAGGCAGGGCAGGTGTGGTATCCCTAAGAGCCAGGATGGCCTTCCTTCCTCTTTGCCCCTTATAGCAGTCAGGTGCCTGCCTGTTGAGCATCCTCAGGGGCTACTCCAGCCCACCTCTGGTGGGCCTAGCTCCAGCCTATGCTCTAGGCGTGGACACGTGACCAGGGCAGCCAAGCCCTGCAGACGTGACTGCATCAGGCACAGTGATCTTGCTGGCCAGTGAGGACACCCCAGGGCTCAGGCTGGTGCCACCAGGAAGATAAAACCCTCCCTTATCTTTTTTTTTTTGGTCAGTGGTGGGGCTTGAACTCTGGGCCTGGGCACTGTCCCTGTGCTCCTCAGCTCAAAGCTAGTGCTCTACCACTTGAGCCACAGTGCCACTTCTGGTTTTCTGAGTGGTTTATTGGAGATAAGAGTCTCACAGACTTTCCTGCCCTGGCTGGCTTTGAATCACGATCCTCAGCAGTTAGCCTCCTGAATAGCTAGGATTACAGGCGTGAGCCACTGGTGCCCGGCTCCGGGCTGGCTTTGAACCGTGATCCTCAGATCTCAGCCTCCTGAGTAGCTAGGAATACAGGTGAGAGCCATTGACACCCGGCCTTCCCTTATCTTCTAGAGCAGGACAGAGCCCTAGGTCTCTGGGACTCTGGGAACCTAGAGTCTCCTAGGCTCCCAGGTAGTAGGGAGAACAGGCTAGAGATGCTGAGGCTACCTGTGCCACCCAGGGAGAAGGCCTGCCTGGGCGTAAAGCCAGGGTACAGGGTGAGCCCCGTGGAAGGACTGAGCCTGGGGAGCATCACTCAGGCTCCTTGTCCAAGTGATGTGGCTGGCACCAGCACTGATCCGCCTGGCCCTCTGCAAGTTACAGACACCATCAGCTATTTATGTGACCATCTGTGACCAGCCCTTTCCTCTAAAGCCCCAGTTTCCACTCTGGCTCAACAACCCCCCCCCCCCCCCCGCCGTACTGGAGGAAGGGCTGTACCTGCTCCTCCAGCCCTCGGACCCGCTGGCGGTGGATGTGCTCCCGCGCCTCCAGAGTGCGCTCAGTCTGCACCTGGGCCCTGCACAGGTGTGCCACCTCCTGCTGTAGCTCCAGCTGTTGCTGCTCGTCCGCCTCCAGTGGCCCTGGGCCATGGTTCTGCTCCAAGGCCTCCACCTGGGCCTGCAGGATGAGCCACACTTAGGATTCTGGCCCAGTATATGCTGCATATAGCTTCCCTGAAGCATGGCCAGGTGGGGTGAGGAAATCCTTGCTTGTCCCCACCTCACTGGCTTGACCGTGAGCCTGAAAATCCTGGGTCAGGCTGTATCCTCTCTGTCTCTCTCTCTCTCTCTGTGTCTCTCTGTGTCTGTTTCTCTGTTCTCTCTCTCTCCTCTTTCTCCTCTCTCTCTCTCTCCCCCTCCCCCCCCCGCTCCTCTCTCCCAAAGACTGGCTCATGTATACTCAGGAACAAAAGCAAGCCCACTGGTAATCACCACGTTGACTTGATGCAAATGTGCAGTCTCACTACTCTTAGACCTTCATACATGAAAACACCTGGACACAAGCACACGTGCCACGGGCGTGGGAGATGATTCCATACGCAGGCAAACTCCTGTGGACACTCCCACCTCTTCATGCCCACCTGGGGGATGCACAGCTCCCTGCAGACAAACTAGCAGTCCTCTCTCCACATGAAGAGTCCCCCCACCTGTAGGAACTGCTCACACTTGACTAGGAATGGATGGAGTTGGGGACCGAAGTGAGGGAGAGGGTGAGGTGCTGGTGGCAGGGGCCAAACCTCCAGCTGCTGGATCTGCCTCTGGGCCTCGGCCAGCTCCAGCTCGACCCCAGTGAGGGTGCGGCCCAGGCGGCCCTTCTCAGCACTCAGCTGCACAGCGTCCTCCTGGCTGCGGAGCTTCTCACGTTCCACCTAGAAGGGAGAACAACAGAGGCAGATGCCACGGCCAAGACCTATCCAAGCCAGGATCCAAAGGAAGCGAGGGCGCCCTGGTGAGCGGCGCACCTTGTCAAGCGTCCTCCTGAGGGACACGCGGTCCTTGTCCAGCCGCTGGGCTGAGCGTTCCACTCCGCGCTTCTCAGCTTCCAGCTGTGCCAGGGCACGCTGCAGGCTGCCCAGCCGCTCCTGCAGCCGCTGCCGCTCATCCTGCAGCTTCTGCACCGTGCGTAGGGCCTCGGCCTCACCCTCCTGCCGCTGCTCCAGCACCTGTAGCAGAGGTCAGGCAGTTCTCTTTGTGCCTGTTTCCACATGTGTATAATGGGGGTGGTGGCCACGCTGGCCATGCCCCTCCTGGGAGCTTAGGCCAGGGGGTGGGTAAGGCTGCAATGGGTGGAAGGCACCCAGCACGGGCCTCACCTCCCGCAGTTGCTGCAGCTGCCCTTCAGCCTCTGCCCGTTGCAGCTCCAGCTCTGCCAGCTCACCCTGCATGGTCCGCACCTGCTCGCCCAGAGAGCTGCTCTGCTTCCGAGCTTCAGACAATGCCTGCCGGGCAGCATCTAGCCGTTCCTGGGGAACAGAGGTGGATGATACAAGGCCAACGCTAGGGCTCAAAGGCAAAAGAATCCCCTCTCCTCTATCCCCGGGCAGGTTCACAGTCCACAAAAACTGGTGGGCATATTGTGGGAGCCTTTCACCCCCCAGCTTCCCCCACTTATCTCTGCACCTGGGTCTCTACCAGTGTGTTCCTTCTCTCATTGGGTCTCCTTCATCATGCCAGAGCCTTCCGATTGGCTCCTGCTCCCCTGACCCCACTCTTCCCTCAAGCCTGCTCTCACTGACTGGTTGGCGGCTCCTTAAAACTCCCAGCCAGGGCTGGGAAGGTGGCTCAGTGGTAGAGCGCTTGCTTTGCATGCATGAGGCCCTGGGTTCGATTTCTCAGCACCACATAAGCAAAAAAGAAAAAAAGCCAGAAGTGGCACTGTGGTTCAAGTGCTAGAGCGTTAGCCTTGAGCTGAACAGCTGTGGGACAGCGCCCACGTCCAGAGTTCAGGCCCCACGACCAGACCCCCCCCCCAAAAAACAACTCCCAGCCAACAGCCCATTGGCTGGCTCACCACTAGTTGGCTCGCCTTCTCCACCACCAGAACCTGTGATCACTATACCTGTAGCACTTGTCGGTCATGTTCGCAGGCAGTTAGGGCCTTCTGAAGGTGCAGGTTCTTGTCTTGGGTGCTGGTGAGGCTGGCATTGCTCTGGGCCAGAGCCTCAGTCAAGCTCTGGACTTTGCCCCGCAGGATCCCCTCACTCTCCTCCACCTTGGCCAGGGCTGCGTTCAGCCGCTCCACCGTCAGCTGCAAGGTTCCTGCCTTCGCCTCGCTGTCTGCCACCTGGGAGGACAGACAGGATGGCAAGGGCTGCACTCCCACTCTGGGCTCTGACAGGTGCGCCCAACCCAAGCTCTCCGTGGATTCTCATTGTTCCTGTGCATTCCCTCTGACAGCCCACCGTGGGTTAACTACCCACGTCCACAGCCCTGAAAGCTTATTGTCCCAGACCCCATATACCTCTTCTCCCTGTTGTCTCTGCCACAATCCTAAAATGTTGTTGTGTACTTGTTGTAAGTGTCCATGCAAGACTAGTTTATTGAACATGCCAGTTAGGCGCTTCTTAGCAGCCAAGGCACAAAAGGAAATGTGGAATCCTCATGCTAACTTGCCCGTGTCCCCGAATGCAGGCTCTCATCACACAGTCCTCAATTTTATTTATTTATTTATATTTTTGGCGGGGGTGGGGGAGAGTCCTGGGGCTTGAACCTATCCCTGATTTTTTATTTATTTTTGGTCATGGGGCTTGAACTCAGGACCTGGGCGCTGTCCCTTAGCTCTTCAGCTCAAGGTGAGGGCTCTACCACTTGGGCCGCAGCACCACTTCCAGTTTTCTGGTGGTTTATTGGAGATAAGAGTCTCACAGACTTTTCTGCCCAGGCTGGCTTTGAACTCAATCCTCAGATCTCAGCCTCTTGAGTAGCTAGGATTACAGGTTTGAGCCACCATTGCCTGGCCCCAGAGTTTCTTTTTTGCTCAAGGCTAGCACTATATTTTAGCCACAGCGCCACTTCCAGCTTTCTGTGTTTATGTGGGGCTGAAGAATCAAACCCAGGGCTTCATGCATGCTAGGCAAGCACTCTACCACTAAGCCACATTCCTAGCCCCCTAATTCTTATTTATGGCAGTTCTGGGGGTTTTACTAGGACTGTGCACTGGCTAGGCAAGAGATCTACCACATTTCCAACTCTTCTTTTTTTGTGCCAGTCCTAGGGCTTGAACTCTGGGGCCTGAGCACTGTTGCTGAGCATTCTTTGTTCAAGGTTAGTGCTCTACCACTTGAGCCAAAAATTAACTTCCAGCTTTTCGGTGGCTAATTAGAGGTAAGAGTTTCATGGACTTTCCTGCCCAGGCTGGCTTTGAATTGTGATTCTCAGATCTCAGCCTCCTGAGTGGCTAGCACCACCAGCACCTGCCTTTCTCTTTGCTGTAGTTATTTTTGAGATAGAATCTCAGGCTTTGTGCATAGGTCAGTCTCAGACTACTCACTTCCTACACAGCTGGGATTACAGGCACAAAGTACCATGCCTTGCTTATTCTTTGATATAGAGTCTAACTTTTCTTGCTTAGGCCAATGTCAAGAGGCAATCCTCCCAATCTCTACCTCCCAAGTAGCTGAGATTACAGACATGAGCCACCATGGCTAGCCTGATATCTAACTGTATCTGCCTTCTACTAGCTATGTGATAAACAAGGATGTCACTCTTTATAAAACAGATGAGCCATGTGCCAATGGCTCATGCTGAGATCAGGAAGATCTCAGGACCCCTTCTCAACCAACAGCTGGGTGCAGTGGTACCTTCCTGTCTTTTAGCTATATGAGAGGTTAAAACTGAGAGAATCCTGGTTCTAGGCCAGTCAAGGCAGAAAAATCTTCAAGACCAAGACTATCTCAACAGAAGAAGCTGGGCACACCTGCCAGCTAGTAACAGAAGCCTAAAACAGGTGGATTGTGATCCAGGTACACATGCACGCAGAGTGACATCTCAAAAATAACCAGTCAAAGGTGGGCACCAGTGGCTCATGCCTGTAATCCTAGCTACTCAGGAGGCTGAGACTTGAGGATCCTGGTTCCATGCTCAGGAAGACACATCTAACAGACATTTGTCTCTAATTAACCAGCAAAGAGCAGGAAGTAGAGATGTGGCTCAAGTTGTAGAGTGCCAGCCTTGAGAAAAAAAGCCAAGCAAGAGTGTGAGGCCCTGAGTTGAAACACCAGTACTAAAAAGAAAATGCCAGGCCCTAGTGGCTCACGCCTGTAATCCTAGCTACTCAGGAGGCTGAGATCTGAGGATTGCAGTTCAAAGCCAGCCCACGCAGGAAAGTCCGTGAGACTCTTTTTTTTTTCTCTTTGGTCGGTCCTGGGGCTTGAACTCTGGGTTTGGGCACTGTCCCTCAGCTCTTCAGCTCAAGGAGAGTGCTCTACCCCTTGAGCCATAGTGCCACTTCCGGTTTTCTAGTGGTTTATGGAGATAAGAGTCTCACGGACTTTCCTGCCCAGGCTGGCTTTGAACCACGATCCTCAGATCTCAGCCTCCTGAGTAGCTAGGATTACAGGAGTGAGCCACCAGCGCCCGGCTGAGACTCATTTTTTTTGTTAGTCATGGGGCCTGAACTCTGGGCCTGGGTGCTGTCCCTCAGGTCTTCAGCTCAAGGCTAGCGCTCTACCACCTGTCCTACAGCGCCACTTCCAGCTTTTTCTGTTTATGTGGTGCTGAAGAATCAAACCCAGGGCCTCATGCATGCAAGGCAAGCACTCTACCACTGAGCCACCTTCCCAGCCCCAAAGTCTGTGAGACTCTTATCTCCCATTAACCACCAGAAAACTGGAAGTGGTGCTGTGGCTCAAGTGGTAGAGCACTCAATTTGAACTGAAAAAAAGGTTGGAGGTGTGGCTCAGAGGTGGTGCTCCTGCCTAGCAAGCACAAGGTCCTGAGTTCAAACCCCAATACCATCATCACCACCGCCACCACCAGCAAGGATGACCATAATACTTGCCCCAGGGCTGTGGGGGTCACATGGTCCCTGTAAAGTGCTGGGATAGGTATGCAGATGGAGGGGCTGTGCACAGGGGGACCCACCTGTCTCTGCAGGAAGTCCACCCGGTCCTGGAGGGCCTGGGCCTGGGCCTCGCGGTCACTCAGGCCCAGGCGACTGCGCTGCAGCTCCCCCTCGAGCGCGCGCCGCTGCAGCTCCAGCTTGATGGTGCGGCTCTCGCAGGCATCCAGCACCTCCTTCAGGCGCCGCTTGTCACTCTCCAACTTCGCCTCAGTGCCCTTCATCTTGCTCATCTTCTCCTGCAGGTGGAGGAGGCTCAAGCCCAACAGACCCTATCTACCTGCAGTCCCTCCCACACCACACCGCCCTTAGGACAAAGCAGGCCTTGAAGAAATTGTGACTCCTGAGGGACTCCGTTTCCTCCACTGTTCACAGGGTAAGAAGATTTAAAGATCCCAGAACACTGTCAGGTTATGGTTAACAGGTCATGTGACCTAGGATCATCCTCCTACCCTCTGACCCTGTGTCATGTCTGTACATTGGAAGACTGTTCTATGGGTGCCCATAGCACATCAGGGAGAGGAGTGGAAAATACAGATTCCAGGGCCTTTCCCTGCTCTATGGAATTGCTTTCCAGAATGGCAGGAAGCTGCATGTGTAACCTGAGCTGGGCTGGGCAGCACTGCAGGCCCCACTGTTCCATGGTTTTAGGGGTAAATCTCTGTCCCTAGTCAGTGGTCAGGCAGTGAAGGGAACGTGGGGAGTGGAGACAGTACAGGAAGATGAACTAGGAGTCCTTCAATCCACACTTCCCCTGCAGACATGGCGGGTCAAGATGTCACTGTAGCCCTCCAATCCTACCCAGCCTAGCCCTCACTTAGGGCCCCATCCTGCCTTGTCTGGCCTAGGAGCCCCCACTCTGGCTCCTGCCCAGCTTTGTTCCTGGCCTCCTCCCGGGCCCCTGTGGCTGGGCCTGAGGCCAGAGCTGAAGCCGCAGACATAACAATTCAGTTCCAGCCTGGCCCTCAGCCAGAGGCAGAGGTAGGCTGCAGGACAGGCTTGGAAGGCCAGGAAAAGGAAAAGCAGGGGCTTTGGTTTCTAAAGGCAGGGCTGTCATCACTAAAGCACGGGCCTTCCTGCCTCAGACACACAAAGAGACACACACACACACACAGCCGTGTCAAACCCAAGAACACTATTCATGTAGCTATCCAGAGACCCAGACATCATGAGAGACTATTCCTAGTGCCCCCTGTACAGAAGCCATGCACAAGAAGCAGACAGCAGACAGGCCAGAGGCCGGACTTGAGTCTGTGACTATCAGGTTCAAGCCCAAACCCTTTCCCTGCAGCTGAGTGGAAATGAGACCCAGAACTGAGTGTGCTCTTGTAGAAAAAGGCACAGGCTACTGTGGGAGACTGCAGAGAAATGGAGGGTAGGGCTTCCACATCCACTAGGGCATACAGGTTCCCCACTGCCCCCACTGGCCCTCAGACCCTGCCCACCTGGCTGGCCCGGAGCTCGCTCTCCATGGCCTGTAAGCTCCTCTCCAGTGCAGCCACCTGGTCCAGCGTGGCCCTGCGCTCCCGCTCGCTGCGCCGCACGCTCTCCTCCTGCAGCGCCAGCTCCGCTTGGGCCCCACTCAGCCGCCCATCCACACTGCGCCGGGCTGCAGCAACCACCAAGTCCCATCAGGCCTGACACAGCCCTGAGACCTGAGCCAGGCCACAGAAGCCCAGCCTGCATCCCACCGACCATACACAGCCTGCATGCTTGTCTGTGCCCAATAACTGCAGGTCTGGACAGAGGGGGAGGCTGACCTGAAAGGACTCCTGGAGGAGACAGCCTAGAGCCAGGTCATGGACTAGGGCAGGGCCAATCCCGGCCTCCCACCTCAGTATCCAGGGGCACAGAGAGCAGGGGATCAGCCTCACCTTCCTCACTCTCAGACACGGTCTTCTGCAGCTGCCTGACCCGCACTACAGCGCTGTCCCTCTCAGCCTCCATCTCAGCCAGCTGACCATTCAGGGCCCTGGTTTGGGCCCGGAGTTCATCCTAGAATCCCAATGCAAAAATGGATAGCCCAGCTGTGACAACCCACAGCCCCTGCAGGGCCCCAGCTCCCAGCCTAGCCCTCCACGCCCAGGCTCACCCGCTCTCGCTGGGTGCTCCGCAGCTCCTGCAGGAAGTCCCGGAGGGCTCCCCGCACCGTCTCTGGGTCCAGGTCTGGAGACACTGGGGAGGTGACAGGTCCTGGGGATGGTGGCTCAGACCCAGGGCTGTGTTCCAAAGGGTTGGGGCTGCTGAGTCCGTCCCCACTTCCTGGAAGAGAACACACTCAGGGATGCAGGAGCCCTGGGTGGTGGTGTCCCAAGCGTCCTGTACCTGCTGTGTTCAGGAGTGTGTATGAGCCTCCTAGAACAAACCAGGCCACAGTACCCTCTTGCTTAACAACTCTAGTCAGCCCTCACAACCTTCACACAAGCTCATTTGCTATAGCTTAGAAACTTTGTTGCCTTCTCCCGCATCATCCTCTCATCTTATATGAGCTGGACACTCTGCATCATCACCTTTAGCTCCCACATTCTAGAACATTGTAGAACATTCCCTGTTCTAGCCCTGAGGCCTTCATGCATGCTACTCATTCTTCTGTTTCTCAGTACCCAGTCTCAGAGGTCTCCCTGACCTTGAGAGGTCTCCTCCCCTCTCAACCCATGTCAGGAGGGCTAGGACCCTGTCTACCATAGTGTCCCCAGGACCCAGGCCATGGGTGGCACCACCAGCCTTATTTTTTTGCCAGTCCTGGGGCTTGAACTCAGGGCCTGGGCACTGACACTGAGCTTTTAGGCTCAAAGATAGTGCTCTACCACTTGAGTCACTTTTGGTTCTTTGGGTGCTTAACTGGAGATAAGAGTCATGGACTTTCTTACCCATGCTGGCTTTGAACTATGATCCTTAGATCTCAGCCTCCTGAGTAGCTAGGATTACAGGCGTGAGCCACTGGTACCCAGTTCATTTTGACTTTTGGAAACAGGCTCTTGCTATGTAGCAGGCTGGCCTCGAACTCTCTATCCTCCAGTCTCAGCTTCCAGGGTCCCTCAGCTAGGACTTCAGGTATGTGCCACTGCAGCACTCCTGCTCGGACACCACTGCCATTGAAACTCTGGGCCTTATGGCAGCCTTGGCAACCTCTGTGCTGTTGACTGCCTTCCTACAGACTCATCTTGTCCACACTGCCTAGGATCCTAGGAGGGACCAGCTGTGAACTGTGATCCTCCAGATCTCAGGCTCCCGAGTGGCTAAAATTACATGAAGTATAACTGACCAACTCTAATCTGCTTTCCATTTCTAGAGTTGTCAATTCTAGATCTTACACAAATAGATTCATATTTGTCAATTTGTTACTGATGTATTTATAATGTCAAGTTTTATCTATGTTGTAGCATTTATCAAAATGTCATTCCTTCTAAAGGCTGAGTTATATTCCATTGGATGGACAGCATGTTTTGTTTATTCTTTTGTGGTGAGCATTTGGGGTGTTACCACATACTGGTTATTGTGAATCATGTTTCAATGAGCTCTGATGTACAGATAATCTGTTGAAATAAAGCCTTCAATTATTTTGGTTATATACCTAGGGTTTTGTGGTAACTTTACTTTAGGCTTTTTGCCATTTTCCAGAGAGGCTGCACAGATCAGCAACGTCCTTTGCCTTTTTCCCTGACAGGTTCCACATCAATCACATTTCTAACTGCTGGTACTATGTCTGAACTACTAGCTCTGGGAGCAGACACACCCCTGTTCTGTCTGCTGCTCGATCCCCAGTGTTTAAGGGTTCTTGGCCTATAGTAAGCACTTGAAATACTGAGTGAGAAAGAAGAAATGTGGTCCAGCAAGGCAACCAGGCTGGCTGTGCCTGTCTGGGAGCGGTTTCACCATCCTAGGCCTGCTGTGGCCTCCCTGAGCTCAGATGGGAGGCTGAGGACTAGAGAGGGCAGGGTTCAAAAACTCAGAAGAGGAGTTGGAAAAGTAAGAACCTTTCCTAGCTAGACAGATCAGTGAGGGGGAAGAGCTTGGTGGGGGCGTGGCCAAAGGAGGGTGGGCCCTATGAAGGCAAACGCAGTGGTGCAGTGGGCATGGCCTCCCCAGTACCAGCCTGTATGCATTCCTCCCCACCCTCCCAGCCTCACCTCCTACAGGTGCATCCCGGGCAGGGGAGCCCAGGGCTAGGGAGCCCAGCACTGGCCTGGGAGCCGGGCTGGGAGCTCGGCCTAGACCCAGGCCTCTGCGCAGGGCGGAGCGCAGGCCACCCAGCTGGGTCTCCGCCAAGCGCCGCTGTGCCTCCACGCGGGCCAGCTCCGCCTCCAGGCCCTGTGCCCGACCCTCGGCTGCACTCAGCCGCAGTGCCAGCTCCGTAGCCTCAGCCCGGGCTGCCTCCAGCCTCAGCTCCAGTCCTCGGGCGATGTCCAGCTGCTTCTTCTCAGCGCCACGTGCCTCCTCCAGAGAGCTCTGCAGACCTCGCTCTCGGGCCCTGAACTCGCCCTCCTGCTCCTGCAGCTTCCGCTGGGATCCCTGGAGCTGGGGCAGGGCAAAGCCAGAAGGTGAGGGTCACAAGGCCACCCCACCTACCTGGCCCAGCTTGGTGCCCACTACCCCAAGTGACCACACCTATTCTTTAGTGATCTCCACCCAAGCAGGAGGGAGCAATAACAGTGTGGGGTTCATCTTCTACCTTTTCCTTAGTGTGTACCCAGTTTATCAGTAATAGCAGCTAATCTATAATGGATGGGACTTGACAGTACCAGGCTCCCAAATAAACGCATTACTCTGAGTCATCCTAACTCTACAATGATAACAGTGAGGCACAGAGTAGGTAACTAGTCTGAGGACACCCAGTTTTTGTGCTACAGAGCAAGGAGTCAGAGCCTGACACTCTGGTTTCAAAGGTTGTTCTTGGCCTTTGGGCACACAAAACTCAATAATTATCTCCACACCATTGGAGTATTAAAGGCAGTGTGTGGCTACCCAAACACAAGCACCACCCTTTGCTTTAGAGAATAAGCACCATCAGTTCACTGGAATTCCATGTACTGAGCACCAACCACCTGGAGCCAGGCATTGGGCCAGTGTCTTTCCTTCCACCACTCCTGCTGCGCTGGCTCCTCTCCCACAAGCACACTAAAGCACAGAGATTAGGAGACTGGATCACACAGCAGAGTCACAGCAGTGAAACAGCCACAAAAGGCTGAGTGGAGAAAGTGCAGGCTTTTAAGGGTCAGACAGATCTGGGCAGCTGTGTGATGTTGGGTAGGTGCCTTGGCTTCTCTGTACCTCAGTGTCTGGTTCTCCTAGTAAATGTGGCTAGCAGGACCTGCTGTATGGGGCTGCTGAGAGAATCAAACAAGGCTGCCTTTGTGTCCACATACATTACGCCCACAGTTATTAGAGGAAACTCTGGGAGTGGAAGATAATCACAAGTGCTAGGGAGGGCATTCTTAAAGGACTCCAGCACTGGAGGACCCATGTACTTTGTGCTGGAGGGAGGAAGAAGGTAGAGAGCACCTCCCACCTCCAGGCAGTCTGCCCTCCTGTCCAGTTACCTCCTGCCGCAAGGCCTCCAGGCTGGCCTCACCCTTCATTATCCTCTGCTTGAGGCCCAGGGCTTCCCGCCTGCTCTCCTTCTCAGCCCGCTCACCCAGAGCCAGGCGGCCCTGCAGCTCTGCCAGCTCCCGGCCCAGCCTAGTATTATCAGTGTCCAACATCTTCATCTGTGAGAAAGAAAAAGCAGCAAATGGTGAACTGTGCCCCTGTGCTCTGGCCAGTCCTGGCCCAGGGGACACTCAAGACCCCCTGGTCTTGGAACACACGTATCAGCTACCACTCCAAAGGCAAGGGGAGCCAGCCTTGAGCAACCTCACCAATGGCCATGTAGTTCTTGGGCCCCAACAACCCTCCACACAGGTAGTGGGGGAATTGAGCCCCAATCAGATCTGGAGTTCAAGTGGGTGGGGGAAGGGAGCCAGGGAGTTAAGCCCTCATCAGATTTGAAGTTCCACAGGGCAGGAACCCCAGCCCTGGGGCCATCTGTCATCTGCAAATACAATTCAGATGTTTGATGTGCTTACCCTATATCTAGCTGTGCTAAGTAAGCAACTTCCTTAGGGCTTGAATTCAGAGCCTCACACTCTCTTGGTGGTTTTGCTCATGGCTGGCCCACTACCATTTGGGCCTCCACCTCTGGCTTTTTGCTGGCTATTTGGAAAGAAGAATCTCATGGATTTGTCTGCCTAGGCTGGCTTTAAATCAAGATCCTCAGTTCTCACCTTTCTGAGTAGCTAGGATCACAGCTGTGAAACTAGCACCTGACTCTGTTGCTATTTCTTGTTTGCTTGGGTTGTTTTGTTTTGTTTTTGGTGGCAGTACTGGGGTTTGAATTCACTTTTGCCAAGCAGGTTTTTTGTTGTTTATTTTGTGCTGGTCCTGCAGCCTGAACTCAAGGCTTGGGTGCTGTCACTGATATATTTTTTTTTTTTTTTGCTTAAGGCTAGCACTCTACCACTTGAGTCACAGCTCCACTTCTGGATTTTTGGTAGTTAACTGGAGGTAAGTGTCTTGTGGACTTTCCTTCCCAGGCGGGCTTCAAAACATGATATTCAGATCTCAGCCACCCCAGTAGCTGGGATTATAAGCATGAGTCACCAATGCCTAGCAAGGCAAATGTTCTTACTACCGCCTTTTCAAGATACAGTCTGGCTTCTTGCCCAGTCACACACCTGGACCATGATTCACATATATTAGGCTTCTCATCATAGCTAGGATAATAGATAAGCACCATCACATTCTGCTCTCACTTGAGAAAGGGTCTTGTGAACTATCTTGCCCAGGCTGGCTTCAAACTGTGATCCTCAGATCTCAGCCTCCCAATCCTAACTAGGATTACAGGCATGAGTTACCAGCACTGGCATATTATCCCTTTAGCAATAAGAAAACTTGCTGAAGGTCACTCAGTCCACAAATAGCAGGGCTGGGATTTGATTCCAGACAAGTGGAGAGAGTTCTAAGTCTGCTCTCCAATGAGTTCAGGTGGGGACAATGCCTACCTAACTCCATGGGAGAGAGACTGAGGAGTACCTGCCGCCTGAGCTCCTGCAGCTCACGCCGGGCCTCCAGCCGAGAGCGCTCCACCTCCTGCAGCCCAGCCCGCAGCTCCCCGGCCTCCTTGCCCACAGCTGTACGCGCCTCCTCCAGAAGGGCCAGCTTCTGTTCCTTATCTTCACTGGCAAGCTTCAGGCTAGAGAGGGTGAGGCACAAGTTTCCTTGGGTAGTGGGAAGAATGGTCTGCGGCTCTATGCAAAAGGCTTCTCTCCGATCCGCGGTGCTGAGCCACAGGGCTGTGGGCAGGCCCTGGGCAGGGGAGGCGCAGTGATGCTGGGAGGGGTCTGGCTGGCATGTGTGGGAGCTGGTGGATTCCAAGTACAGATCCAACCCTGCCTGCTGTGTCCCTCTTCTGAGTAGGAAAGCCACCTCTGATGACTCTTGTGCTAGATTGTGGCTAGAAACCAGACCATCCCCACCTGGGCAATTTCCCTGGCCCCAGGTTCCAGGGGCAAAGCTGGGGGGAAGGCAGGCCTCCCAAGCCCCAACCTGATCCGCTCGCTCTCGGCCTTCTTCACAGCCGCCCGCAGTTCCTCGTTAGAGCGCCGCAGGGCCTCACGCTCCTTGACGCCCTCGCTTAGGCTGCGCCGCAGCTCACTGGCCTCCAAGCGCTGGGCTTCTTGGCCCTCCTGGCTCTCCCGCACCTTGCGCTGCGCCTCTAGAAGATCCCGCCGCAGCCCGTCACGGGTGTCCTCCAGCAGGCGCAGCTGAGTCCGCAGCTCTTCTGCCTGTGAGTCCAGTGCAGGGGCGGGGCTCCGTCAAGCTGGACTCCATGTCCATTCCTGGGGCCCGCCCCTTCCTCCGAGGTGACTCTGACCCTGGGCTGTAAGTGATGATTTAGGGCAAGGCATGCTGAGGTCTGGGCCTGAAATAATTCACTGGAGTCTTCCGGCAGATAATAGCAAGAGGGCAAGGGAACCCCACCCACCCACCCTTTCAGCCCCTCCATGGCTCCCCTGCACATAGCAGATGCTGAGCTAGCCATCCATCACCCCCCAGATGCAGAGACAAAGCTTAAACTTCTGAGATGCCCACAGCAGGTCCAAGATAGCACATGGTAGGCTATCTGGCGAGCATGGGTTCAGGCTCACCTCACGGAGGGAGGCCTCCCGCTGCCGGCCCAGGTCTCGGGCCTGCTCCTGTAGCCTCTTTACCTCCTGGGCGTGGGCACCAGCAGCCTCCTCAAGCTGGGCCCGGAGGTCCCGCAGCTCGGATGTCAGGGCATTCACGGTGCTCTGAGACAGACAGGCGGCTCAAACTTGTTCTGAAGTGTGTCCCCCGCACTGCCTCCAGCCCCAGGGGTTAAGCTGTCCACTTCTAGCTCCAAACACAGCCCCTCTCCTTGCCTGCCAGGCCCTGCTTATTCAGTGCCTAGTGGATGCTATCCACATGGCTGGCTCTTGCTCCAATAGCAGGGCTAAGGCGCAGCCGTTTCATCTCTCTTGGGCAGGGGCCCCAAAGGAAGGGCTGAACCTCCCCACCACCACCATAGCCTAGAGGCTTCCACTAGGGGGCCTGGTCTATCCTCCAGGTCAGATATGCCCCAACCCTAGTAGAGGCCAAGCTGCTTACCCGGTCCTGCTCCTGGCGGCTCTGAGCATCTCGCTTCTGCCGCTCCATTTCTAGAGAGATGGCAGCCAGACTGTGCCGTGTCCCCATCAGCTTCTCTGACAGCGCTGTCTTCTCAGACTCCTTCAGGGACAAGGCCTGGGCATGGGCAGGGGACATGGGGCTCAGTGGCCACAGGTGTATACACCCCTCTGCTGCCTGCCATAGGCTCAACAGCACAATCAAGGCCCCTGACAAAACTTGACTTAGCTATCTATCACTGACCTGCCACACTTACAAGGAACAAGTTTGTCACTATACTGACTTTAGTGTTTACTTCTCTTTGGTAGTACTATGATTTGTGTGTGTGTGTGTGTGTGCTGGTACTGGGACTTGAATACAGGGTCTGGCCATTGTCCCTTAGCATTTTCATTCAAAGTTGGCATTCTACTTCTTGAGCCACAGCTCCACTTCCAGCTTTTTGGTGGTTAATTACAGACAGAGTCGTATTGACTTTCCTGCCCAGGCTGGAAAGTCCTTAGATCTCAGCCTCTTGAACAGGGAGGGTTGTGTGAATTATCAGTGCATGGTTGGCACTAGAGTTTGAACTCAGAGCTTCTTACTTAATAGGCAAGTGTTTTACCACTTAAGCCAAGCTCCCAGCCCTTTTGGCTTTATTTTTCAAACACAGCCTCATGTGGCCTCTGACCACCAGTCTCCTATCTATATCTCCTGCATGCTAGGATTACAGTGTGTACTACCACATATAGCTTATTGGTTCAGATGGTGAGGGGTGGAGGAGGAAGTCTCATTAACTTTTTGCCCAGGCTGGCCTCAAACTACAATGCTCCCAATCTCCACCAAGTAGCCAGTATTCCAGGTATGTGCAACTATGTCCCACACTCTCTGTCTCTCTCTGTCTCTTGAGATAGGGTATCACTATTATCTCAGACTGGCCTGTAACTCTTGATCCTTCCACCTCAGCCTCCTGAATGCTAGAATTACAGGCATGTGCAACCATGCCATCATCCCCATCTTATAGATGAGGAAACTAAAGCTCAAAGAGGGAAAGTGACTTTCCCAGGTGACACAACAGGTGAGGGGAAATGAACACCATTTTCACTGCCTCCCCAGCATTATAGGAAAGTCAAGAATTAGCTCTTGCCAGGCGCCAGTGGCTCACGCCTGTAATCCTAGCTACTCAGGAGGCTGAGATCTGAGGATCTCAGTTCAAAGCCAGCCCTGGCAGGAAAGTCCGAGAGACTCTTATCTCCAATTAATCACCTGAAAACCAGCAGTGGCACTGTGGCTCAAGTAGCAGAGCGCTAACCTTGAGCTGAAAATCTCAGGGTCAATGCCCAGGCTCAGAGTTCAAGCCCCATGACCAAGAAAAAAAGATAAAGAATTAGCTCTCAGGGAAGGCCAGTTGTGCCTGTAGTCATCATGGCAGCTGCCCAGAAGGTGACTCTGAGGATGCCCGACCCAGAGGGGTTGGAGGAGGGATAGGAGAGTGCAGGATGCTTTCCTAGTATCACTGACACTGTGAGCCAGACCTGAGCCTTGTGATGTGTCCCACATCCCTCCAACTCCCATCCTGCAGGTGAGGGAACTGACATTTGAGAGGGAACATGACCCACCCCAGGGCTCCGAGCCCCAAGACTTTCCCACAAGTCACACACCTGCTGCTTCTCACTCTCAGCCAGGAGCAGGCCCTCATCCCGCTCCTGCTGCAGGGCAGCAATCTCCTCACTCAGCTCCTCCTTCTCAGCCTCCATCCGGGCCAGCAGCTCCTCCCGCTCCCGCTGCAGCTGGCCCTGCAGCTGGGTCCGCTCTGCCTGCAGCTCCCGCCATGCTGTCTCCTGTGGTCCAGGCCCAGTCATGTGACACACCAGAAGGGGCCCAGGAAGCCCCTCCCATTTCTCAGGGGCATTCAGCAAGGGCCCAAGTGTCACACAGCTAAGAAACAGGACCACATCACTGTAAGGTGGGCTGTGACGAGGACACTAGGACTATGAAAGCCCTGAGAGCAGCAGCACCTGCACTGGGTCAGAGAACCCTCCAACCAGGTAAGGAGAAGCAAAGAACCCAGGCCAGGAACCTAGTCCAGGAAAGGCCGGGAAAGGCTCTGGCAAGACAGAGGGATTGTGAGAACAGTGAGAGCAGCAGAAGCCTCAAGCCCAGGTGACAAGGAATATCTAAAGTTTAGATGAAGGCCTTTCAGACATCTGTGGGACAAGGATCAGGGGTGAATGTGAGGAATGAATGGGTCTGGGGCCCAGGGGAGGCAGAGGACATAGACAGGAGGATACAGATTCAGGGATATTCACAGGCCACACTAAGCAGAGCAGGGGACAAGAGTAGTAATGGGTTGGTATCACAGGAGTCTGGCTCACTGAGGACAGTGGGCAGGAGGAGCCCATGGGCAAAGGACAGCTCACTTAAGAAGCCAAGGACAGCTGTCCAGCCCCAGCATTGGCCCCTAGAACTTGGTGAAAAGCCAGCCATGGTGGCCCTTCTTCAAGTGCTGTGCTGCCACCTGCTGGAGACATGTGATGTCTACCAGAATCTGTGGAGACCCAGAGGGGCCCAGGGCCTCTCTACTCTATAACAGGTTCCTGAGACTGTGGAAGTAGCCCTGTCCAGGCTGGGTGTCTCAGAGCCTTGTCTTGAGGGCCACTCTGGAGAATATTGTAGTGTCAGTAAGAGTAATTTTTATTTACCAAGTGTCTGTCTCCTTATATAGGTTATCTCACACCATCCTAGTACCTCCCAGCACCTACCCCATCTCTATAAATGGGGAAATGAAGGCACAGAGACCTTAGGTAGCAGCATTCGCATTTAACCACGACCAGATTCAAATGTAGGGAAGGTAAATCCAGAGCCAGCGTTCTAATAACTTCCCTGGCCCCTGCTTTCTTATATGCTCAGGTCCCAGAGTAATCCTCCATGTTAGCAAATGAAAGTGCACATCTGCTGCACATTATATTGGCCTTTCTCAAATGTAATTGTAGGTGAGCTGTGGCAGGGCTGGATCATCAGTGTTGACCATCAATCGGCATATTTGATAAGGACATGGGCTACAATGGTCCCACACGTCCCCAGGGCCTCGAGGGCCAACAAATGGGGAAACTGAGGATGACTTCTCTGGGGGAACAGAAGAATCAATGAGGTGACAGTCCTGCCCACCCCCACGCAGCTACCCAAACCTTTTCCCGCTGCAGCCGCTGCACATCTTCCTCGTGGGCTGCCCGCTGCTCCCGCAGAGAGGCCTGCGCCTCCCGCTCAGCCTGCACCAACTTCTGTGCCATCAGCTCCTTATCCAGAGCCGCTTTCTCTTCTGTGGTTATCATCTGCTGCCGCAGACCTGCCAGCTCCCCTGCACAAGGACACGGAGTGGAGGAAAGGACAGGACAAGATCAAAACTTCCCCTGGGGCAGGCTGAACCACATGGGTAAAATCTTCAGAGGAAAGAAAGTTCCCCTGGCACCTAGGCTGGGTTCCCTTGGAGAACTGACTCACCCTCTCTGAGTCTGTCTTCCCTCTGGCTGTCTCCCCTCTGCCTATCTAGAAGATTGATAAGAAGGGTCCCACAAATGGAAAGGATGTCAGAACTATAACCACCACCATCACTGAATGCTTACTACAGCTCAGGCACTTGGGCAACACTCAAGCACAGCCATCATTTCAGCTCTAGTTTATCCTCATCCTGATGAGGCTCTGAGGTCACCAATCTCTCAAAGCTGCCCAACTTTTCATAGAATGTCTCCCTTTAACGACAGAGAACTGTAAACCGCTGTCAGCACTCATAGATGGAACACTGCCAGGTGAGCCTCACCTGGAACAGGTGAACACACTTCCCTGGGGGACCCAGGACCTCTAGCATTTCCCTTCCTAGATGCAGACAGGAAAATTCATTTCCATGCATAAGTAGGTGCTTAGTGTCTGGTGGACAGGGAGGGCCTGAGCACTGAGCACGGGTGGGGAATGCAAGGAGAGAGAGCAGTGGGGAAAGCGACTGATGGCTCAGCAGGGAATCAGATCCCCAAGTGCCCCAATGACGAAGAAACAGCAGCCACTGGTGGCTGAGCCAAGCCCCGTGCCAAGTTTTTCACATGCGCGCTTCACATTGACCTGGCAACAGGTTTGGAAGGTGGTACTACCTCCTATATCAAGACCTGGTGGGCCAAAGAGCAAAGGGTCTGGAACTCAGGTCAGCTGTACAGCTAGGTCCCACCTTCTAAGATGCCAGAATCCCACAGGACGCAGTCAGGGCCAGAGCCTGGGGTCTCCCAGCCCCTTATACCTGTCAGGGTCTCCTTGGCCAGCAGCAGGGCCTGTCCATCAGCTTCTAACTGCTCCCGACGGGCCTCCAGCTGGGCCAGCTGCCTCTGCACCTCAAACAGGCTGCTCTCTAAGGCTTCCTTCTCCAACCTGCAACATACATAATCCGAGGCCACTGCACTAGCCTTCCCAGCCCCAGGTAACCCCAGGTGGCTGAGGGTGTGGCTAGCATGGGCCTCATGCCAGCCTACCTGCCTAGCCTGTCCCAAGCTCCCTGAGCAGGAGCTAGGCAGTGTTGGCAAGCTGGGCTCCTAAGAAACTGCTCCTATGGGCCAAGCCAGAGCTTGGTCAAGAAGTACCCTCCCCTCCCTGGGTAGAACCCCATCCCAGGCCCCTGGGGGAGGCTGGGCAGAGCGTGAGATCTCACCTCAAGCGTGATGCCTCCTCTGACAAGGTCCGGCCTTCACGCTCTGCTGCAGCCAGCTGCACAGCCAGGCCAGCCCGCTCCTTAGCCAGGGCTTCCTTCTCCCGGGCTGCCCGCTCCAGTGCCTCCGCCTGCCGCTGGGATTCCCGCTGGGCCTGCTCCAGCTCCTGCTCCCGCATGGTCAGCTGCCTGGAGAGCTGGCCCCACCCAGGGACTGAGCAGAATCCCCTAGAATCCCCACCCTGTTCACCTACTTGGGATCTGGCCCAGCCCTGGCCTGGCAGACAGAAGACCTATGTTGGAGCCCAGGCTCTGCCCTGATGTGCTGTATGGAGGACAAATGACAGCCTTTTCTAGACCTGCAATGCACATGTGTGCAAAACCAAGGACTTCCTTTACTCAGTTTTGAGAGAAACTTTGCCCCCTAAGCCTTTGGGGGAGCGGAATGAATAAAACACAGAAGGCTGGCTGCTCTGCAGGCCACAGCGGGAGGAGCTGCAGCTGCCTCTGGTACCCCGTGCTCCATCTTCTAAGACAGTTCTCCAGCCCTGCAGGACTGTCACTGCATGACAGCCCTGAATCCCTCAAACCCTAAGTCCCTTCCAGCTGTGAGGTCTCAGTTCTACAAGTCTCCACCTATTTTCATGACAGCTCTGTGTGAGATGGAGGCTCAGGGGCAGAGTCCCCTCTGCAATGTGCTCATGTGGGATTTCTCATTAGAATGGCCCTTAGTGCTAAGACCTCTGGGCTCCAAGTTACAGATGGGGTGATGAGGCATGAAGAGGTGGGTAGCTTATTCAAGGGCTTCAGCTAGTAGAGATGGGGTGGATATAAATCCAGAAACTGGGCCTGGGTGCCTGGGTTCCTCCACTCCTGCCTTGCCCCACATGTGCATGGGGCTCAGCCTACCTGGGCCAGCTGCTCCTGCAGCCAGCTGCGCTCACTGCGCAGCGTAGGGAGCTGCTGCTCCAGCGCCTCCCGGGCTTGCTCAGCTACGTGCAGGGAGCCCTCCAGGCCCTGCCGTTCCACCTCCTGCTCTAGTCGCAGCTGCTCCAGCCGTTCCTGCTCCTCCAGTGCCAGGGTGGCCTCATGTTGGGCCTGCTGCTGCCTGCCCAGCAGGGCTGCCTTTTCCTCCTCCAGCTGGAGGGGATGGGTGAGGGTAAACAAGGGTCCTTCCCAGGATCAGGAATGCCTCTTCCACCCTCCTAATGATCCCAGCTAGTCACTCATAGGTGCCCTAACAGACCTGCCTTTCTAAATACATGAGAAAGAATATGGAGACAGACCAAGACAGGAGAGGCAGATACTAGGTCAGAAGGGCACAGAGTATAGGGTGTGGGGTGGTACAGTGGGGTCTCTGGGTAGGGGAGGGCAGGCAGAGCCAATGCAGTGCCCACAGTATGCGGTGTACCTGGGCAACATGACGGTTCAGCTCCAGCTTGTCCTGGGCAAGGCTTTCATTGAGGGCACTCAGCTTGGACAAGGAGTCCCGCAGGGAGGCCTCTTCTGCCCTCAGCTTGGTCAGGGACAGCTCAAGCTCCACACGGCCAGCCTCTGCCTGTGGGTGGGGACCAGACAGTAGTGCCACTCAGACAGGGAGAGATGGATAAATGGGGAGAGACAAGAATGGAGACAGATCCTTGAAGGTGGGGCAGTGAGATAAGGGTTAGATGTAAGGAGCTGGGAAAGATCCCTGCAGAGGTGGGCTGTAGCCTAAGAAGCCCAGTGAAAGAAAAGACCCAAGACAAAGCTGCTCAAGAATAGCCCTGCCAGGCAGAGTTATAAGTCAAGAGGATCCCCAAGTGGATATCCAGGATCCAGACTGCAAGGAGGGGGCAGGCCCTGATGAGGCCTCTCAGTACCGTGGCCCCCAACTCTCAGAGACCCAGATGGGACTGGGTAACCGACAACCTGTGTCCAGAGATAGACTGAATGACCCTGTGCTCCAGGCACTGGCTCCAGGGATATGCCATTATTGGAGGTCAGTCCAATGCTGGCCAGGGCCAGAGGTCAATCTGTGGCCAGTGAGAAGAGTCAAGTCTATGGCTATGCAGCCAATAGCGACCCACCTTGGTCAGCACCTCGGCCACCTCAGCTTTTTCAGCCTGCAGCATGTCCCGTTGCAGTGTGGTGCAGCTCAGCGCCTCCCTCACCGCCACCAGCTCCTTCGCCAGCCCTGAGCGCTTCACCTCCAGCTGCTCTAGCTGTTTATGGCTATGAGACAGAAGATAGGAGTGTCTCCTGTCACTTCCTTCCCCTGAGCTCCGACACCCTACGGGGTGCTGTGACAGACTGAAGCAGGAGCCTGGGGAAAGAGCCTCCCCCATAAGGACAACCAAGCCTCTTAGCTCTGTGACACTGGACTGGGCATCGATATTCACAAGGGCAAAATGGAGTAGCAGCTGCTTTATGCAATTGTCCTGAGGACGCCGGGCACAGGCTCACACCTGTAATCCTAGCTACTCAGAAGGCTGACATCTGAGGATCGCAGTTTGAAGCCAGCCTGGGCAGAAAAGTCCTTGTTAGACTCAAAAACCAGAAGTGGAACTGTGGCTCAAAGTGGTAGAACATTAGCCTTGAGCAGAAGAGTTCAGGCACAGTGCCAGGCCCTGAGTTCAAACCCCACAACCAACAGAAAAAGAAAAAAAAAAGAAAAGAAAAGAAAAAAAAGAAAGATATTGTCGTAAGGATAAAACATGGTTACAATGCAGGAAGTACTTCAAACATTACCTGACACATCTTTCTAGGGATCCTGAGAAACAGGAATAATATCCATTACCACATCGTACTAAACACCATCACCACTTAGATCTCAGAGAGGTAAGCAGTGCAGGTTTAAATCCTGGTTCTTATACTAATTGTGTGTCCTGTGGCAAGTTTCAGGACCTCATTGTGCCTCAGTTTCACCCTCATGAAAAAA